AGGGGGGGTCTCGACGGCGGGGGAGGGGCAGCCCGTGCGGGGACGCGGCTTCGGGGGGAGGGTCTGTTCCGGGGGGCCACGCCCGCGGGCGGGGGTTCTTTGTCCGCTGCGCGGCGGCGAGGTCCGGACAAAGGAGACGGCGGGGGGCGGCGGCCGCTTTGTGGAAAGCGGGTGTCCCCCCCCACACCCCGCACTTGAACCCCACCGCCGCCTGCAGTTCCCCGCCCTGGGTCGGCCGCCGGGCTCCTCCCGACACTTCGCGGTTTTTAAAAATAACGGTGGAGGTGGGGGGTCCTGGCAGCCCCCAGGGTACTCAGGAGGGCTCCGGGGGGTAGGGATGGGGGTCTGGCGACGTCTGGCGCCCCATTTGGCAGGTGGGGAAACTAAGGACGGGCCACAGCATTTGGTGCCGGGTTCTGTCAGTGGTGACTGCGCGGCGTGGGCATGACTGGGTCCCGTGGTTCCCCCACCCGTCAGGCAGACTGGAGTTGTCTCTCCAGCTGTCGTTCCCCCTCCAGCTGTCGCCCTCGGAGCTAAGCCCCTGTCCTCCCTCCAGCCTAGCATAGCTCCTTGGTAGAATGGGGGGGGACGACAGCGTCGCTTGGCAGGGTTAAATGAGAGGGTGCGTGGAGCGCGCCTGGCACCGAGCCTGCACGTCGCCCTCGCTCAGCACGCGGGAGCTGCTCTGGTGCTTGTCATCCCTGTTGTCCCCCGCATCGCACCCTCAGGCCCGTCAACCATCCTGCCATGGCGGGAGCCAGACTTAATGAACGTGTCTCTTGGCCCTTTAGACCGCGGAGTGGGGAGGTGGGTGTCCAGAATCCGGTTGGCATCCCGGTTGAAATGCGGGATTTGAATCCCTGCGCAGCTACTTTTGAGCTGTGTGACCTTGGGCAATTGACTTGACTTCTCAGACCCACAGATTCTTTTATCTGCAAAGTGGGCGTAGTAACTCAACTTGAGAGTTGTTTTGAGGCTGAAAGGAGACGATCTGTTTGAAGTGTTCAGCTCAGTGACTAGCACATAGTAATCATTGCCAACTTTTGTCGGTAATAATAATCTACTATTATTACCAAACTTGTTTGGCCAAGTGGGCTGGCCCTGGGGCAGGCTGAGAGACTCACCAGTGACTGATTCACAGGGTGGGGGTATGAGCCTCAACTGGGCCCCAGGAAACAGGGCCTGACCTTGGGGCAGTCCCGGGGCTCTGCCTGAGCCAGCTTCCTCTTCTACACAGGGGAACCTAGGGGGTTCTGGTGTGAGTTTCCTCCTCAGGAGGACAGGGGTGTAATGGGTGGGGGTGGAGGATGAGATGAGAGGTTCCACAGAGCAGGGCACAGCCCCGTAATTATTAGTCTCCCATGGGCATCCCAGCAGATCTTGGTCCTGGCTTTCGGAGGGCAGGGGCCTTGTGGGGTGCATCCTTGGGCCCCAGGGCCTGCTGGGGCCTGGCACAGAGCAGACCTTCCACCTGCACCCTGGCTGTGCCCAGCTGTGCCCCCTCCTCCCTGTCATCCTAAGTTCCTAATCAGAAACCAGGCAGGAAATGTTTCTGGCTTGTGAACTGGGGTCCCCTGAGGAGGAAGAGCCTGGTTTGTTGGCCCAGCAGATGACTTTGTTGGGGGAGAGGCTGTGTCTTAACCCCTAGGGGCAGGGCTGGCCTCCTGGGAGCAGACAGCCCCAGAAGGTGGAGGCTGCAGGGCGGGGGCGGAGAGCTGGTGTCCACCTGGGCTGGGTGACACTCGTGATATGCCCAGAAGCAAGAAGGCGGCAGCATGTCTCTGAGGAAGGGACTATTTGTGGCTCTGGGCCTGGACCAGACTCTGTACCCTCCTGAAGGCAGCTCCTTGGGGAGAAGGGATCCGAAGGGGTCACTGTCCTCTCTGTGGCACCCAGGAAAGCATGGTGCCTGATGTCATGCTAACCCAGTAGCGCAGTGGCCCTTCCATTTTCCCATTTATCACTTCTCATCCTCCCCACAGCCTGGTGGGTGAGGTCAGGGCCTCTACCCATTTGCACACTGAGAAACGGGCCATGAGGACTGGCTTGCTTGGCTGGGTCAAAACAGCTTACACTAGCAAGTGGAGTGGTGGGGTGGGGCAAAGGAGGGGACCTGAATCTACTCTGCTACTGGCTGTGGCCCCACTGGGCTTTGAGTCTGTGCAGTGACCTGTGGAGTGGGCTTAAGGCTTAGTCTGGGGTCCCTTGAAGAAGCAGGTATAACTGGAACCTCACCTAGCATAAGCTGTGGGCCTCTGCGGGACGGCAGGATAATAGGAGATGCCTGCACTCAGCCCCGCTGGTGGCTGAGGCAGGGGCTATCCTTTTAAACTCACTGGTGGGCAGAGGGAGCAGCGGGTAGGGAGCTCAGAGGAGTGGCTTCTGCAGACTGACGAGGCTGGGCTTTACAGCTTGTTTTTCCAGGAGCAGTGGATGAGCTCCAAGGGTCAGGCCACCCTTGGCCGAGGAAGGCAGGGACCGAGGGCCCACTAGGCGGGAGGGTGGAGGGAGGGTGGAGGATTGGCCCTGTATGTTTGGGGGGATCCAGATGGCCTTGGGCTTGCAGTGCCAGCCTTTGTCCTGACTGAGGCAGCTGGCAAGGAGATGCTACAGAGGTGGGTCCATCACCAACCCCCAGAGTGCCCAGAGACTGCAGGCCCCTAGCTGTGCTCTGACCCCCAGGCTGGCCTTGGCCCTCTGCACTTGGAAGACCCCTCCCTGTGCTCTGCTGGGCCCTACTTTTCGGGTCACATCCCGCTTTCTAGCTATGCACTCTTAGGCAATCCAAATGCTCTGCGCCGGTTTCCTCATCTGTAAAATGGGGATAACGGTGAGCAGTATTAGCTGCAGGGTTGTTGGGAGGGTTAAATGATTGTGTGGAATAAATGTTAACTCCTCTGATGATTGTTCTGAGGGGGGTCAGGTTTCCCAGCTCCCAGCCTGAGCATCTACCTCCTCAGCCCAAGCTGTAGCTGTCCCTGTCCCACCTAGGGGCTTTCCTGGATTATGGCGAGGGGTCAGCTGACTTGCAGGAGACACCTTGGCTCAGAGGGGCACGGGTGGGAGTGGGGGAGGCCCCAGGAGAGGCGAAGCTAGCAGGGTGGGGTCCAGCACAGGCGAAGGGGGTGCAGGGAGAACCAGCTGGCTGCCTCATGCTTCACTTTTCCTCTGGGCTCTGCTTTTCAGAGGCCTCCTCCCCTCCCCAAAGCTCAGCACTCAAGGTGACAGCTGCCCCTCCGTGGGCTCAGGCCTGCCCGGGACCCACTTGCACGTTGTTGCTCCCACCCCCGCACTCAGGCTGCAGCCTGTCCTGAGGCCCCGCAGGCTGCAGGCTTCCTTGAGTCTGTTGGAACAGGCATGGGCACCCGTGCACAGGGTCCCGGGTGTGGCTTTGGAGTGAGGGAGTAGGCTCAGGGGTGGGGGCCGCCGACCACGCTTCCCATGAGAGCAGTGTCTCTCCTCTAACTCAGCATGACATCCCCAGGCTCGGAGCACTCCGCAGACATTTATTGAGCACCTGCTGTGTGCCGATAATAGGACTGGGGATCCCACAGTAGACAAGATGGTCCATGCCCTCCGCTTTCTGGCTCAGAGTCCACTGCGGGAAGGACACAGCCGTCAGGGAAACACGTTCCCTGACCCAGGAGGATTTCAGGTAGCAGAACGCGCCGGGAAATAAAGTGAAGTAGTGTAAGGCGATTTTGAGTGTGGGGTGGAGGAGCGTCTGGAGCCAGCGTGGTCTGGGAAGGCACCTTCTGAGAAAGTCCCCCCAAACAGGAAGGAGCCAGATGTGGGGCAATCAGGGAAGAATATTCCAGGCAGAAGGAACAGAAAGTGCAGAAGCTCGGGGAGCCAAGCAGTTTAGAGTCTCTGCTGATGCTGGAGAGGGTTCTGAGCCGGGGATCATTAAAAAATGATCAGATTTTCTTAAAGAGCAGTTCTCAGGAAATACTTGCTGAGTGAAGGAAGGAACAAATGCACTCCGGGCAGGGCCAGGGACCACAGGCTAGACGTGACTATGTCCTGCTCACCTGGCTTTGTGCTTACAAGGGTGAGGGGCCCAGACCTGGCTGTGCCTATCCCTGGCCTGGGGCGGGGGCAGCAGACAGGGTTTTGAGGTCACCAGGCCTCTCAGAGAGTCCGTTTGAGCAGGGGGCTATCATTGCCTCAGTTTCCTCATTATTCCAGGGACCGCTGGGGTCACCCTTCCCAGGTCTTGCTGCTATTGTTTGATTTCCTACTTCCTGCCCCCAAACCACCCCCACTCTTCCCTAAACGCACATACACTTCCCCTTCCGAATTAATACTGACGCGCCTTCCTGCCCATGATCGCGCTGTGGAGGGCAGGCACCGGACACAGGAGGTCCAGTGGACATAGGGAGGTGGGGAGGGGTGAGGCAGGTGGGTGGTTTCCACAGCAGGAAGACAAAAGGGAGGTTGGGACGGGTTCCCCCAGCTGCAGCTGGCAGGCTCCTGGGGGGTCAGGGGTCACCTGACAGGACAAGCTGAGCAGGGCTGAGGGAGAGACGCCAGGAGGACCTGTGCACGTGGGGGCACAGGGGTGTGCAGGGCCACTCAGGGAGCACACAGTCTGACGGGGGGAGGTAGGTGCTACCCAGACGGCTGTGCCACAAAAGCAGGGCTGCACACTGAGGCTCGTGCCCTGGAGGGAGCGAGCGAGTGCAGTCCCAGGACAAAGCCCCTCCTGGACGGCAAGCCAGGAGGCGTCCCTGCCTGAGCTGGACTTGCGGGTCAGGGTTTCTCGGCCTCCATACCACTGACTCTCGCTGGGGGTGGAAGGTGCTGTCCTGTGCACTGTGGGATCTAGAGCTGCACCCCTGGTCTCTCTTCGATTTGGTAGCAGCCCCACCACTAATGTGACAACCAGAAATGTCTCCAGACATTGCCAAATGTTTCCTGGGTAGCACAGTTGCCCCCATCTGAGAACCACTGAACAAGGGAAAGAGGGAAAGAGCATTTGGGCAGATGGGCCAGCCCGGGCAGCAGGGCGTGGGGACCCAACACGCCAGGTCTTGTAGGTCACGGTAAGGGCTCGCTCTGGGTGATGGGCACTGGCTGCAGTGGGCCCGCAAGGTGGACCAGGGAGCCCGTTGAGAGTGATGGCAGCCGCCTGACCCTGGAGTTGGTAAGAAGGGGACACCAGCAGTATCACCCCCGTCCTGCCTGGTCACCTCTCTCCAGCCTGGGACCCCTCTGCAAACATGGGCATGGTGGCAGGTGGAACTCGAGAGTCGGCAGAGTTTTCCCAGGGCCTGGTGCCTGCACAGACTGTGGGGCACTGACCTTCAGACAGAACTGGCCTGGGGTGAGGGGGAGACTTCCTGGTGTCGATGAGAATCACTTCTAATTAAGGCTGTTATTGCTCAAGGACGGCAGGTTCCATCCTGTTGGGAGGGAAAACTTTCTCCTTCCAAAGCCGGCTACCTGCCTTCATGTCAGTCTTCTCAAAACAGCGAATTCAGACAGCTCACTCGTCCTGAGCGCTGAACTTGTGTCGAAGGTGCCACGGGCTTTTCCACATCCTCATAACCACCTGCGTGTTACTGTTACTTGCTCTGCCTCCGGTGAGGCGGGAAAAACAGTGCAGGGTCTCGGGACCGGGGAGCCCGCCAGCTTCAGCCCCTCCCTCCTCAGCCAGCCTGCTCTCCCTGGCCTCATCTGCCTCACCGACGAGAGAGCCTGGGGTTTTTTCCTCTCTCTCCGCTCCCCAAAGCTGTGCTCTCCTTTGCCCCCACCAGCCAGCCCCATTTAACAGGCAGATTGTGAGGCTCAGTGAGGCAGGGAGAGTTGTCAGAGGTTAGGAGGCTAGCAGGTGGTGGTCCAGCATGCACACCCCCTCCCCGCCCCCACCCAAACGGTCTTCAGCCAGCGGTGCCCTCGGCTCCTTGCACCTGCCTGCAGAGCCTTAGCAGGTGCTGTTTCCCAGGGCTGGCTCTTCCTGTGCATCTTAGCATCAGCATCGTCTCCCTAAGTGCCTCCCAGCTCAGCATCGCGGCACCTGGTCCCCTAAGTTCCTGGCATGGCGTTGCTGCATTTGTAGTGATGGGCATTTGGTGTATTGACCCATTTGTGGTCGGTCTGGTCTGGCTCCTGCGCCAGACGCTGCGCTCCGGGGAGGGCAGGGGCAGTCTGTCCCGAGTGCCTCCATCTTCCAGGACTCGGCTGCCTTGCGTCCCTCTCAGATGGTGTGGTGGGCCGGGGCTCTTCTCAGGCGGCTGCAGTTCCCCTGGGCAAGGGCTGTCATCTGCCGCACCCTCTCCCAGGTGTTCAGGAAGACTTGGTTGAGTTGCATACATTGCCTCTTTGCGAGAGGAGCTGATGTCACTTCCTGCTGTTGAATCCCTCGTCTCTGGCCATCACGAGGCACAGACGCTCTTTCAAGCCTCTGCTGCAGTGGGGTCACCGGGGCCCCCGTTCCCTGCATCTCAGGCTCTGTGGCTGCCTGTCTGGTAGCAGAAGCACTGAAGGTAGTGCATGGACACGGGCCGGGGTGTGACGAGGCGGCTAGTAACACACGAGCCAAGAAAACAGCGAAAGCCAACCAGCGTGTTTTCACTAGGACGAGGATGGGACGGTCAGGCTTCAGAACTGATTAAAAACAGACCCTGTGGAAGAGCCAGCGGAGCTTGTGTGCCATCAGGGTGCCCTGCCGAGTCCCCAGTGTAGCCTAATGTCATTTTGTCTTTTAGGGCTCTCGTGTCCAGCCTGAGTTCCAGCCTTGCTGAGCCGGCCACCCCCAAGAGCTTCCTGCCTCGGAAGCCTCCCCTGCGCTGACCATGTCTATCATGGACCACAGCCCCACCACGGGTGTGGTCACAGTCATTGTCATCCTCATTGCCATCGCTGCCCTGGGGGCCTTGATCCTGGGCTGCTGGTGCTACCTGCGGCTGCAGCGCATCAGCCAGTCAGAGGACGAGGAAAGCATCGTGGGCGATGGCGAGACCAAGGAGCCCTTCCTGCTGGTGCAGTACTCGGCCAAGGGACCGTGCGTGGAGAGGAAGGCCAAGCTGACCCCCAACGGCCCAGAAGTGCACAGCTGAGCTGGGATGCAGAGGCTCCTGGGCATGTGTACAGCCAGCCGAGAGGCGTGGGAGGGGGAACCCCCAGACATGCTGCCGTTTGAGAGGAGGGGTTGACACTTGCTGGCATGGCCTCGCCGGGCTTCGTCATCGCATGCACTGACTCCCGGGGTCCCGGCTGTCCCGAGCCAGGACTCGGTGGCCCTGGGCACCTCCTTGGTCTCCTGGTGGGGCTGCCCATTGCAGGCAGTGGGCAGGCCTGACCTTGCTGGGGCTCACAGCCCTGTAGCGCTTTTGTTACTTGAATGTTTAGCTGAGCCTGTTTTTGATGGAGCTACTACTGTAATGCGTGAACTCACAAACCTGTGAACTGTAAATAGGCCCCAGAAGCACGTGCTTAAGCCTTTTTTGCTGATTTTTAAAAATACCGGATAGCATACATGGGACTGACCGCACTGATGATGAGCTGAGTCCAGGCTGTGGAGGAGGGTCTTAGACATGGAAGGCCCACGTTGCACTTGGCAGGGGCCTCTAATATATACGTGTGTGTTATGTAGGGGATGTGACATGTCAGTTTTAAGTTTCGGGGCTGACCTGTTGGGGTGCTTTGGTGATTTCTGCTTGGTTAGCAATGCATAGAAAAACCACGCCCCCCACCCCCACCCCCTTTCTCTAGGTAGGTTTGGTCTTTAAATACCAGTTCCTGTTAATAGTGGAGTTATTGCAAGGAAGCTACTGCAGCTGCTTGGGAGCCAGTGAAGGATGAGTCAGGGCACGCGTCCCGAGGGCTGCCAGGCGTCCTAGTGGCAGAGCAGTTTCTTGTCCCCTTGGTCTTGAGCATGCTGAGCACTCCCTGTCCCCACACCCACCCAGCATTACTTAACAGGCTACCTTTACCTGACACCCAACCTGCCCAGTTAAGAGAGAAAATTGTGGTTTTTGTTTTGCTGTTGTATTTAATATATTCTGCACTGGAGGGGAGTGGTAGGGGACTTAAGAGGTTCCCCCCACGCCTTCCCTTTTTACAAATTAGCTTCCTTCTCAGATTACCATCCACCTGCTGGGTACTGGATTTCACTTTCCTCAGCAGGTCACCTAGAAGGAGAGACCCCCCTGACCCACTATGAGAGTACCAAGTGTGGTGGAAGGTCATTTCTTGTGTGCATGTGCACATGCCTAGTGGTGGGTACCGGGGGGGAGGGGCGGGGGGAGAGTGTTTGAGGTTCAGGACTTGGTTTTCAAAAAGATGAGGAGTTGGTGGCTCTTGATCGGGCCAGCGTCCCCAGCCTGCATCTCTAAGGTGTCCCTTCTGTATACTTCAGTGAACGCGCTTCGATTTTTAATCCCACCACTGTAAGCACATTCGAAACTATCCTGATTAAACTCTGACTTGTATCAGCATCCTTGCTAATGAGCTGGAGGCCAGCTCTGGCTTAACCTCCGACTTGAGTGGCCTGCCAGCAGCATGGACAGGGGGCTTCCATGGGGGGCCTCAGCCATGCCAGCCACCCCCACCCGTCAGAGCCCTGGGCTCCTGGTCAGGCTGACGGCAGCACCTATGGCCTCATTCAAGTCTCCTCTGAAAAGCACGTTGAACTAATCTACTTTCTAGAACACCGAGGAAGCTTAGGGAACATTTATTTTAGCAGCATATGCCTAAATTGGGGGTCAGTCATGAAGTAATGGCTTGGGGCGGGGTGGTAGCTAGTTAGGAAATTTGAACTGAAGACAAGAGGAAACGTCTTTGGCCCCTGACTGGGCAGGGCCAAGTGTATGAGTTAGACTGGAGAGCAGCAGAGGCCCGGCAGGCCGGGAAGCGGGGACAGAAGTTCCAAAGGTGCCAACCTGACGATCAGGGAGGTTTGCTTTCTAATGAAGGATGCTCAAGAAAAATGTGGAAGGTGTAGGGGTGTTTGGTCCATTCCCCTCGCATTCCAGAACTTCCAAGCTTTCTACCTCTACTTTCCACAGCCAGCAGCATACACCTAGGCTGTCTTTCACGTGCGTAACCCAGGAGCACCTGGGACTTGCATTTTCAGTCTCTGAGCCTGACCTTGAAAATGACCATCCCTTGCTGGTCAGACTTGCCCTGAGGTTTTTACCGTGCCAGTGAAGTTTTGCTTTTGAATTGATGAAACATCACTTTCTCCTTAGTTTGACTGCTGGAAGTTCTCTATCCCACTCCCCGGTCGCCAGGGACAACATCTTTGCAGTTTGAATCCATCCCATCAGCATGCTGGCAGTGCCGGGTGAGGGTCGCAGGCACAGTGGGGCACTCGTGGGGGTGTCTGGGAGGAAAGTGGAAGTGCCTGTTGAACTGGTGATCCACCACATAATAGCTTTCACTGTTCTTATTTATCAGTAGCTACTTTTTTTAGCGTAGACACCAGAGCCACACACTCAACTGGCTTAGTAAGTTATGACCTCTCATTGGATTCTTTCTGAATAGCCCACTGTTGCATTCAAGCTTTCTGACTAATCAGTCAAGAAATGAACCTTTCATCCTGCATGTCATCACAGAAGCAACAGTAGGAGAATGGGGAGGGAACTCAAGACACTGAGCCACGAAAACATGGACTAATTTTTCAGACAAATCTACAAATGGACTGTGCTACTGTTTTTGTCTCAAAGCTACCAAGTTTGTGCAATAAGTGGAAGGGATGTCATCTCTGTTCAATAAAAGTCAAATGACATTCAAGCTGATTTTCTAGACCACTGAGAAAATCTTTATTTACAATAAATTTCAATAAAATTTGCATAAATATATTCCCAATGTACAGTTTTCACCTCTGATTTCTTCATGTCATTCTGAAAGTTAGTCTGTCCTGTTGTCATTGCTCCTTTCGGACACCAGCGGGGAGCTGACATTGGCAGGCGGAGGGGCGCTGCCAGGTAACTGGGAGGCCCCCGAGGGCTCAGGGCGGTCCGAGCGCGCCGCCTCAGGGGGAGTGAGGTTCTCGGCTCCGACCTTGCCCTCCAGCTTCCGCTCCATGGTTGCCACCAGGACCTTGAGCCACGCGTTCTCGGTGAGCAGGTTTTCCGAGGCGTCGGCCAGCTCCTGGAGCTTGTGGGCCACCTGTTCGAGCTCCTGGGTCTTCTGCTCATACAGGGCCTGCAGCTGCTCGCTGTGCAGCTGGAGCAGGTGGTGCTGCTGCTGCAGGGTCTGCTGCTGCAGCAGCAGCCGGTGCTCATCCCTGCGCGCGCTGGAGAGCCGGGCCTCCACCTGCACCTGCGCTTGCTGAAGGGTGCTGATTTCCGCCCTCAGCTTCCGGATCTGTCTCTCCAGATGGGAGATGTGCGCCTGCTGTAAGACTGCCTCGCTCTGAAGACACTCTTTGGTAGGAGGGTTAGCCAAGTTCTGGGGGACAGAAGCAGGCTCTGAGTGATGCAAAAGGAACCTCAGCAGGTTTGGAAGGGTGATGGGAAGGTCTTCGGGGTATTTCACACTTAGGTCCTTTCTAGAGAGAAAGGGAAAGGCGTCAGAGATGAAAGTAACACCATGTTTAGTCCCAAACCAAACTGCTCCTGGAGGTCAGGCCGTTTCTTTCCCACAAGTCATTCCAAGGATTTTCCTTACTGAAGTCAGCAAGAAAAAGGTTATCTGGGCAAAAAATGTTCTGTAAAGCTGAGGCTGTCCCACATGCTCGTTCTGTAATTAAGGTGGCTTATCTCACACCTGTGTCTGTTCCTGAGGACAAAGAGCTCAGTTTCTATTCACAACCTTCCAAGACACACAAGAGCTTCCAGGCCAGAGCCTAAACCAGGGACGACGCAGGGCACTGGGAACACGGGCAGCGCGGCCTCTGTGTACTTTGGGAGGCCAAGTGGTATGTCGGGAGGGGCATCCTGCAGCAGGGCTGTCACCCACGTCACTCTTGTGGCCATCAACAGTGCTTGGTGAAATAGAAAAAACCCCGAAACACTCAGCCCGGCTTCTTCAACAAGCATTTATTCCACATTATCCAAGGCAGGAGTTCTTAACTGAGGGCGACTGTCCACCCCAGGAGACATTTGGCAACATCTGGAGACATTTTTCATTGCCACAATGAGAGAGGTATTAATGGAGCCCCGGACTCTGACAAAGAGACCGACCCAGGGACTGAGGAATTGACGTTGCCTGGCCCCGAGAACAGAGGATAAGGAAGGAGGGTGACATGGGAAGGGTGTTTGCCCCAAAGCATCACTGCAAGTCTGGATGTAGAACATTCCTTTTTAGAATTTGTCATTTAATTGTCTGACAATCAAAATTTCTACCAGATACATTTCCTTGTGTATACATAACCCGACTGCAATACATCAAAACCACCAGCTTTATACATGAGGTGGGCAGACAGCGGTTACCATCACCTTGAAGTATTAAAGGGATGGAGGTTAAAAGTGGGGTCTCCAGAGGCCACCTGCGTGGGGCGGGCTCACAGGACTACTGCTCATGTCAGGAAACTCCTAGTCAAGTGACTTCTCTGCCCCTGCACTGCCTCATCTGTAAAGGGGTAACGAGTATCTTCTCCCTCACAGGACTGCTGTAAGGACTACATGAGCTACCCGGATGCTCAGTGAATGTCAAGATTTTAAAAAATCACATAGTTCCTTAAAAAAACCAACCAGAAACCACTCATGTAAAGTTTGCACGCCCTTTCCACACACACAGCCACTGATCAAATACCTAAGAAAAGACCAACGGTGTTCTATGAATGGGTAGTCCTTTCCCTATGAAATAAAAAAATCACAGGAAAATTAAAATCAAATATGCCCCCATTTTATACGTTTATGGAAACGTTCAGGTAAATGGAATAACTGCAAACATCTGGGGGGTAAGCATATAACCACGCCCTCCTTTAAAGCACAGTTTTCTTAAGCTTTCTTCAAATGGGCCGCCCAGCCATTCGATCGACAACTAAAATCATCCTGGCCCCTGTCAAGTGCAGGCGAGGAGCGACAAGCAGAGCTGAGCTGCCGCTAAATTCTGCAGCACCAACCTGGTCTTCTAGGGCACAGAGTACACGCGAATGACCCCCGGGAAGGAGCTGCCGAGAGACCTGTGTATCTGGAGACAGTTGCAGTACAGAAGCCAACATTCGTTAAGCATGCCACTTGAGAGTCCCTGAGCAATCTCCCAGAATCTACCCCACGGGCATGCTAAAAGGCTTCCACACTTTTTAGAAGCAGCAAGGACACCAAGGGCCAACAAATGGCTTCCAAAAAAGTAATCACTTTGAAAGTGCAGTCCCACCATCTGACTCTCCTCTAAATTCACGTTTATGCACCTCTAGCACATAAAAATGCCAGATATAAAAATGACAAATGGGGTGTAAGGTACCTTCCAGAGAAGGGGCTATAGGACTGAGAGCGGGTGGGGCTGTTCCCTCTGAAGAGGTGAGATCCCTCCTCAAGGGACACATTACAGTGAAACCACTTCTGATCTCCTAGCACCTGTATTTTGAAATGTCACACAGAGAGTGGTGGCAGAAAGAGTGGCTCTAAGACGCCCCGGCACAGGAAGGCTGGCCCTGCCAGGAGCAGGAGGCAGCTGAGGTCGCACGCTGTGGCAGAAGACAAGCTCTTTCAAGTGGTTACCGTTTCATGAATATAAGATGTGCTCACGAAAGACAATTTGCAAAGGATGTAAAAAGCACACAAGAGGCACCTCCAGATCCCTTGTAATCCTCACACCTCCAAAAGCATCACTGTCAACATCTTGACACCTTCTGTACACGGTTTAATCCAGTGCATGCACACATTTGTATTTTATCAAAACATTTACACTTTCATATTCTTTTCACTAAAAATAACATAAGCATGTGCACTGTGAAAAGGGTCTTAGTACATGTTATCAATCGGTCTTTTTCATTTCCTCTTTTGCGAGCTGTCAGCTCATATCCTTTGCATATTTACTTCTGAGTAAACTGAACACTCACGTTGGACAAGCTAACGAGATTACTTTACTTCTGACTATCATTTATTTTTAGGAAATAAGAAAAATTCCACTCCAAAGCAGTAAGGCTTTGGTTTACCAAGCTCTTCCCATTAAAACAGAACTGAACAGTCCTTTCATGTTCGATATTTACCTCCCTTTTTTTTAAATTGGAGAATTGGGGGACGGGAGCAGTGTTGGGGAATTGTGGAGGGGGACCAGCCAAGTTGTTGTTTTTCAATCTCAGTTGTGGAGGGCGCCAGTCACCATCTGGCTGCCCATCGGCAGCTTGTGGCCTCTAAGCTCAGGGTGCTGTGTTACAATCTTGGTTGCGGGTGAGCGTCCAAGCAGTCTTGTTGTTAAGAGCGTGTGCTCTAGGGCCGGCCGAGTGGCTCAGTTGGTTAAGAGCTCGCTCAAGAGTGCAAACTCTGAGCAACAGCGGTTCAATCCCCAGCCCGAGCTGAGCTGCCAACAGGTAGCAGGATGGCTCAGCTGAAAAAAAAAAAAGAGTACACGCTCTATCCACTGAGCCATCCAGGTGGCAGCTCAGTTCAAGGTGAGTTGTGAGTAGGCATAGCCCACCATCGAACAGGCAACCTTGTAGTTACACCAGCTGAGCCATCCTGCCACCTGTTGGCAGCTCAGTGATGGCTCAGCTCGGGCGCAGTGTCACTGGCCCATGTGGGAATCGAACTAGCAGTCCTGTTGCTCAGAGCTCGCTCTCTTAAGCCAACTCTTAACCAACTGAGCTACTCGGCCGGGCCCCTGACTTTCCAATGCAAGGAAAATAGTAAGGGGCTGCAGTGACCCAAACGTAGCCTGGGGGACGAGCTCAGCTCCATGCTGACTGATTGGGAAGCTTTGTAATGAAAGACACTTCACCCCAGACTTCGGCCCCAAACACAAAACTCCTGGCCACCAGGACTGTGTCTCTCTCTCCATCTCTTTCAATACATATTCACAGATTCTAGTTGCTGAGAACTTCTTCATGCAAAGGCCACTGCTAGGTATTACGACTTCAGTAAGTTTCCAAACTGTGTTTGGAATTCCAAAATTATGCTCCATTAAATTTCATGCCCAACCTCTGTCCCACACAGATGGAATTGCTGGTGTTATTGTCCACAGTTTCGTGACTGTGGGGCTCTTTAAATGCTTCTTAGAAAGAAAAGAGGTTCATCACTACACAATCAGCAGCACAGGGTGAGTCATGCTCTGTTTTTAGTGCGTGATTTGACAAGACCCTGCTACCACAGGAAGTATTCCAGCAAAAATTCTTTGAGATAAAGCGGAAAAAACAAGGAAATGATTCAATATCTATGAAGGAAGCACTCTCCCAGAGCAACACAAAAAGCATGGCAGTGGCCGTAATCGACAGTAAAAGTAAGGACAGGAAATTGAAACAGTGCACATCACACGTGAGTTAGGGACCGCACTAAAATAATCGGGCAAATGCTTTTCCCAGTAAAGACACTGTCAAAGCCATGTGACTGGGTCCCCGAGGACACATCCTTTTAAAAACAAAAGGGAACCTGAAAAAAGGGACAGATTATCTGGTTTATCAGGCTTTAAAAGGCCAAGAGTTAACTTCCTTTCTACCAAAACATCTGCACCCACAGTCACTAATTGCCACATGGGTCCCCTCTGCCGACATCCACCCCTCCTTGCTGGACTTGCAGGGTAGCTGCAGTGATCACTAACCTTGGAGCACCACTCAGACAAACGTGAAGAGACCCAGGTGACAACCCAGTGGCTGCCATACATGGAAGCCTGTGTACCTGGGGAGAAAGCTCTTGACCCCCATATCCTCCTTGCACAAGAGGCACGAGGTGGTTGTGGGCAGGGCTCAGTGAGAAATGACGCCCGTGGAAGTTCGGGCAGGTGGGGCCCAACACCCCGTAAGGCTCAGCAGATGCCTATTGTTTTGCCCTTCAGAAATGTGGGGCTCTCTGCTGTCAATCTTGGCATCCACCAGATGCTCAGAAGGCCAAGAAAATGAACGGGCTCTGCGGGCCACATCCATGCTCGTGTAAAACACACTCTGGGAGGGCAAACTTCTTACCAAAAACCACCACAGCTGACACTGTGACACGAAAGCCCTTTTACCTTTCGTCCCTAATGGCACATTTCTTTTAACAATAGATTTTATTCAAAATAGTTTAGTAATAACTAATGATTTACATTTCACTTCTGTGAAGTATCTTAAACCCATTTCATTTTCAGTGAACAAATCCCATCTGCCCAAATATTGAAAAAATTCAGCATTACCTGTTGCAGGGAAAAAATAAGACAGTAGGAAGACGGTCAACCATAAATTCCCAAGGAAGGTCATTCTGAGATACATCAATCCTAGAAAAGGGAAAGAAGAGAAAAAGTACAAGACCAGCCAAGAAACTCCCATCTGTCAGAACGTTCTCCAACTGAAGAGCCTGGAGCCTCTTCTGCGGCCTCACTGGCGGCCCCTCTTGGTGACAGCACTACCAGCCCTCAGCTGGCACAGCTCCTGCACGAAGTACGGATACTTCCAGGGCCAGGCGTCTTTCCACTTGCTGAGTGGAAATGTAATGTCCTGAAAGTAAAATGAACCTCCCACAAAGTGCCTCAGTGATACCTCAGGAGGAGTCTACCTAACTGAGAACCTGAGCCAGTACTTTAATCCTTGAATTCACTCTGGAAAAAGGAAATCATTGCACGAAATATTACATCAAGCCTCTCTGATGATGTAGGAAAACTTTGGAAAAGATATACTATACTCTATTTTATATTTTGTAAATGTGGATGGAGGCCAAAAAAGTTGTATTTCCTTAGCAGATTTAAAATTAATTTTCTAATACAGAAAATGGTATCTGAACTCAGTTACCCACCCAACCTACAGTGTTTTAAGTATTATTGAACTAGGTGGCAGCCCCTCCTACAGCTGGCACTGAGCTGAGCATGCAGCAGGTCCCCCTAGCCCCAGGGGCTTCTCAGACTAAGCAAAAGAACATTCTATTAGGAGGGGACCAGTACAGGGCCGCTCGGCCCTATTCACCAACAGTGCACATAAATGATGGAAATGTTTTGACTCATTAACTTGACCAAAGTTTTCAGGAAGTATGGGTGTGTTGGGGGGGGGGGGGGGAAGACCAGTGTCGTGCAATTGTCCAAAAGGATGAAATTCACTTAAAAAAAAAATGACAACCAAATTATAATAATGGTTTTAAACAGCTTTACTAACAAAATGGCACTCCTACCTACCTAAAATATTAGAGTTCCATTTTTAAAACAAGTGGTGTTAAAATACTTTATTCTATAATCAAATGCTTTTTTTCTCCCGATTTTTACTTCAAAGAAAGACCAAACTGTAAAATTAAGAAGAAAAACATTTGTAAACATCCACTTGGAATTCCCTTGGGCTAATCAGGACCTCTTTCGAGGACGCTCATTCAAGTTTGGTGTAGATGGCTACATATTGTGAAGAGCAGTAATCACATATCTCATCCTCTCTTCTTTTCAAGTCATTGTATGCAAAGGGTTGTTCTAATGAATGGATCCAAATCCCATCAAATGTCCAACCATAATTTACTTAACCACTCCTCTATAGTTGGATATAAATAACGGTACTGTGACTAGCTCCTTAATTCCCTAAAGTGAAATTAACCGAGTCAAAAATGTATAGCCATTTTTGTAACTTCTTCCAGTGTTGCTAAAACGCTTTCCAAAAGGGTTATGTCAATTTACTTATTCTATTAGCTATATCTGACTGCGCCAATTTCACTTTATTTTATCAAAACAAGATTCTGTCACTTAAAAGCAGTTGTTAATTTAATAAGTATAAATGAAACTATGTTATTGTTTTCATCTACATTTATTAGACTATAATTTCCCTACTTCTTTACTCTCTCCTCTTACAGGAAAAGCCTGTTTATGTCCTTTCTTCAGAAAGGAATCCCTCTCAGCTGTTCCCCCATTTTTTGTTACTGTTGTAAAATATTACAATCTTAACCATTTCTAAGTGTACAGCTCAACGGCATTAAGTACATTCATCCGTGTTGCTGTGCGACCATCACACCATCCGTCTCCGGAACACTTCTGTTTTGCGAAACGAAACTCTGCACCCGTTAAATAACACTCATCCCCCTCCTCCCAGCCCTTGGCAGCCACCATTCTACTTCCTTTCTATGCATTTGACTACTCCAGGTGCCTCAGACAAGTGAAACCATCAGAATTTGCTCTTTTGTGTCTTACTTCACTTAGCATGAATGCCTTTGGGGTTCATCCATATTGTACTGCGTGTCAGAATGCCCTTCCTTTTTAAGGCTTAATAGTATCCCATTGTATGGACAGACCAGGTTTTCCTCTCAGTAGCATCTTAAACCATTGTAATTTCTCAGAGTCTGGAGTATGAATGCCTGATTCTGAACCTTGGCCCCTCACTTACAGGTGTGACTCTGGGCAAATTATCTAATTTTCTGTGCCTCGGTTTCCTCCTCAATAAAAAGAGTGATGATACTCATGCCTGCTTCAATGTTCTGAGNCCTGTGAAAGGGTCGTTCGACCCCCAAAGGGATCAGGACCCACAGGTTGAGAACCGTTGCTGTAGAGAATGGATTAAAGAGCAAGAGATTAGGAAACAGATGAAGGGGTTATTCCAGGATTCTAGAGCAGAGATGATGATTGCCTAGACCAGGAGTAGGAGAGCAAAGGAGAAAGATGGAGAGAAGACATATCAAAGATGGCATCTGGAGATAAAATGAAACGGCTTTGGTGACGGATTAACAGCATGTGGAGCTAGGGGGAGGTAGTGGAAATAGAGTAGTAATCAAGGATGACCCTGGTGTTTTGGCTTACTCATCAGAGTAGAAATTCGTGGTATTGATTGAATTAATGAAGGTTTGGTGAGAAAGCAGTTAGGACTGAGTTTTCTGTGGTGGGTTGAGGGCATAACTAGAAATCAAGAGCTTTGTTTTGGTTGGAGATATATATTAGACATTCAAAAGAAGCTGTCAGGGCCGGCCGAGTGGCGCGATGGTTAAGAACTGGCTTGGGACGCCAGAGGGCCCCGGTTCGGATCCCACATATGAGGGCCAGTGACGCTGCCTCGCCCGGGAAGAGCGCAATGATGGTTCCAACTTGGGCCTGTGAAGCAACGTCCTCCACAACTAGACTGAAGAACAACAAAAAAAAAATCGACGCAACTTGTCTGTTCCCCTTCCCCCAATTCCCCAGCACTGTTCCCATCCCCCCAATTCCCCAATTAAAAAAAAAAATCTCTCAGCACTGTAACTCCTCAAATTTGGCTCTCATCATCACTTATAGTATATATAATAGGTGAAATATCTTTGCTATAAAATATAGTAAAATATAGCTTTTTTCCTTTAGTATGTTTTCCTTATTTATTTTTCACTGCACATTTTTCTAGTGGAATCTGTTCACTTTTCTTTCATTTTTTTAACCACTTCACTTTGGAAAATTTCCATCTGTCAAAGGAACTAACAAATCTAACATTCTACCTTCTATTTTTTTCTATGAATTGATCTTTTATATTTAATTCTAATCTGGAGTGGTTTTTTTGGGGGGGGGGAGAAGATACAGCTTATATCTAAATAATTTCTCCCCAAACAGCTTACTGCCTTATACAAAAACTCTTTGTGCTTTGTTTTTACAAAACAATGATTTAAACTTTTTACTAAAGAGCCCACATACAGTATCCACAGAATCATAAAACTAGAATATGTGGATATCCACCAATCTTTCAATTTTAGGAATGAGGATAAAAACCAGGCCTGGGTCCCAGGGCTGGCTGGTAGCACCTCAGGGACTGGTCCCCTTTCCCTGGGCTGAGGCCCCAGAGCTATGCAACTCCATGGGCACCCTTCCTGTGGTAGTCCAGACAATGGGCCACTCAGAGGGCTGTCCTAGCAACCAGGTCAGCACAGCTCCCACAGAACTGCACTCACCTTCCTATGAATCCAATCAGAGCTAACCACATGCAACATCATGGAAGGAACACAGAGAATTCATCTGGAAAACTTTTGTTTCAGTAAGATTTTGCTCGTGGCTTTAAGCTGACAATTAAATTCAAACAAGTCTTACCCACAGTTAATGAAAAACGGGCAGAGCCTTGCAAACCATATGGCCAAGCTGTAAGGAAGGGTGAAGACAGACACACAGCCCAAGGTGCTACAGACCAGGCTTCCTTACCTCGCCACAGTGAACGTGTCCGGTGGCAGGAGGCGAGCTAGCTGGATAAAGATGTGATTGAGGGATGGGCAGAAGCCGCACCACTGTGCATAATAAAGCAGCAAAACATCCTGTGAGAAGGAGAGATGGCTGTTACTGGTGCCTGGGAAACAGGCTCATGTCCTCACTGTGCTCAGAACCCAGCAGGCATTCGATAAATGTTGCTCATGCACAATTTATAGTGAAAATGTAATCTTTAGAACTTTCCAATTCTGTGCTTTCTTAAGGACATTCTGCAATTAGAAAACCACATGTCATTCACACATGTTCTGCAGTTAAGTCTGTCATGTGGTTAACCTTCCATACAGCACAGTCAGCCGCTCACCCTAAGATTTACAGCTTTAGAAACAATTTTAATGGGGATAGATGGGTTGATTTCTGCCCCTCTCGTGATTCCATACCTGCTTTTGAAGGACTATGTCCCAAAAGGTATCGGTTGTCACTTCAGTGATTAAATGCTGAGAAGGGAACTGGGCAGAGTCACTTCCAATAAGATGCCTTTTCAAGGGACTGTAGAGAACGCTGAAGTTTTGAATGAAAGACTCTAAAAATAAAGAGAAAATGACCTACTTTAAACTCTACATTTAAAAAAGTGGGATGGTTTCACAGGCTCACATTTTTAACACTTCGCCTACTGGCAAAACCCTGAAAAAGGCTGCCCAGGGTGGCACCATGTTTAGCTTTGGTGGTATTAACTCAGCAGACAGTAATTTAGGTAACAAAACACCATGTAGTATACATGCTCTAATATTCACAGACTAGGAATGCTATCCGTGTTTCCACAAATAGACATCTGAGATTGCAAAAATCATCAACATGCCACAATCTTTTAAGAGATTTCAACCTACAATACGAAGACCTTTAAGTATAACTACAAAGGCAATAATTGCACCAGCTACTGTAATGTGAAAGGTGTTTAATACGTGTTCATTTGAGGACAAGGAGCTATGGGTTTTCTTCCCCTTTATTAAAGTTCTTCAAGTTTCTTTCTTAAAAGGTTAAGAAAAATAAACTCAATTATATTTAGCAGAAAAGTGCATAAATTAAACTCATAAATAACCCAAAAACCTAACTTGAACCAACAGTTGTACCCTCCCCCAAACGCCACTGTCTTCAGATTGTTTGGGATCATCTGAAGCAGCACTAATCTGTGTTTCACTTCTTTAATTTCTTCTAACTCTCTCCATTTGGAGGTCCTATTGAACAATGAAATGTTCTGTAGAGGGGGAGGAAGTGAAGAATGTTATGTGAATACTAAAGAGAAGTCATTATCAGCATTTGAATAACGCTTAGTTGGCTATGTTTTTGAAACATAAAACCAAGAATTAATTCCTAATCTGAATGAAGACTCAATTCTGAGACCACCCCCAGAAACAGCTGACTTGAGTCAACTCTCCAAACCAACAATGACACCCAGTAAATGTTTTTTTATAAGGACCCTTACAAATTCTGTCACCAACTACAGGACAAAGAGCAACTGAGCTAGGTATTTCAGAATAGATACAGGAGATGAAAAGAAATCTTAAGAAGGCTTCTTTCAGATTACCCTTAACACATTACGAGCTTACTGAATGTTTGAGTATGACTGAACAGGAAAACCCAATAAACACTTAAAAAAATAGAGGCTTGTTTCATTTTTTTCATTTTAACAAAAGTCAGTACACCAAAAATGTAACTTTAGAAAACACGAATTAGGAGCAATTTGTAAAATTATTAAGAGTGCACTTCATAAAGTGACTGGACACAGGGTCCTTTAAACACTCAAGAGCCTTCGTGTTTATAATATATAATTCGATATAGAAAAATCAACATTTACTGAGCCTTTCAAATGTGTCTAATGTAGAAACAAGCTTCCTCTGGGCTTAAAAGACAACTCAAAGGACTTATTCAGAGGCTCTGAGTTTACTCTTATTGTCATACCCTCTAAAACTTGAAAACAAAAGGTTTTCTTCCCTACCAAACTCGTCCTGTCTCCATTTGGCAAACACTGACTTTCCTCCTTGCTTCCAATGAGGCTGAACTAACATGGCTTTGAATTCTCACTTCCTTGTGCACACATCAAGGATGTCAGCAAAGGCCTGGGAACAGGGCAGGTGGCTAGTTCACTGGTACTGTCAAGCCCCAAGGGCAAGTTCGGGGGATACCTTTGCCTAATGGGACCTTACTCCTACCAAAAGTGGTTTTTGCGCCTTACACTTGTTTATTGCACTGTACTTGACAAATGTTTGTTACAATGCACCCAAGGTCAAAGCAGCATTCCCCAATTGGTTATAAAACAGCAGTAGAACAAATTAGATCTTGACACCTATACATTTAAACCTGTGAGACAAACAGGGAGGACAGGCAGTTCTATCGTTTAAGTTCCGTGAGATTGAAGCTGCTGTTGGGGCTCACAGCCATCAACCCCTTGGGGCGTTCCCATCAGAAGGACTCTCATCACAGGGGCCAGGTTCCCACCAACAGCAGCTCACCCTACCTTCGACATGGGACAGGCTCTGCCCATCTGGAACAGTGGGCTCATCCCCTCCGAAGGCTAAAGGACAAACTTACCCAAAATTTGGAGTTAGGAAGTTTCTGTTCCATTTCATAGACAAAATTAGCTTCTTGTAAAATTATGACCAACTGCAGTCTAAAATTTCAAACGAGCTAAAGAGGTGACATCACCCCCATGACCAAATGTAATGAGATCGCTAGATACAAGTAGTTACGCAAACTTATTCCGCTTGGGGAAGTAAAGTGCTTACAGTACCTAAGGTGAGCTTCATAAGAGCTTCTTTTGGATCCAGGATATAGTGAGACTCCTCTTTCACATCAACAATGGCAGCAAATTCTTTCACCCGAGTGGTGCTCGGAGCACCCAGCCTCTCTGCATACAACCAAAACAAATTTGAATCCAAAAGGTACAGGTTCAGGGTCTTGTTGGTCCTGCAGCTCAGGCCTGTGAAGTCTGTGCTGTCCATGTCCACTTCAGGGAAGAGAGGCCTGTTCTCCTCAATGTGAGGAATGGAGCCTGGGGTACTGACCTCACATTCCTTCTCAAGGGAAGAAAATGCAATGCTCGGGGCTTCGGAGTCAATGAAGCCCATCCCGGCCCTGTTCCTGGTCCTGCAACATGCAGTGTAGTAGCTGAAAGGGCTGTAGGAGCTCAGAAAATTGCTACACTCCATGCTGTCCGATGCCACGTGATAGAAGGCCTGCTCCTTGAGGTAGAAAGAATCCAGCGCTGCAGCCATCTCAAGAAAGCTACATTGCGGCATGCTGACCGCGCTCAGCCTGAGGCCCACGGCCGTCTGGTTGACACACAGCTCACAGACGTTGTGGGTCCTGGACATGGAGTGCCACTGGGGCAGCACCACGGTGTTGCAGCAGGGGGACGCCGCTATCAGCGGTGCGTCTGGCAGCTGGGCCGGGGGCTCAGGCACCAGAGACTCGGACACTGGGGCGTCCACTCGCCGCAGGTGCTGCAGGAGCCGCCCCACCACCTGGTCCCCGTGACAGTTGTTGTACTCCAAGGCCACTTCGGTGATCTGAAACACAGGGCGGAGTGCATGAGAGGCGTGCGGCTGAGCGAGGGAGAGACCCTGCCAGGCCTGGGAAGCATCCTCATCTGATTCCAAGAAGGAGCCCTGGCCGGAAGCACCGCATCCAACAGGAAGCAGTGCATCACACCCAAAGCTCTTAATGAAGAGAGCTGGATTATTTCTCAGAACATACTATTCTGTTTACAAATAGTGAACCAGCTGTTAGGAGGGAAGTGGGCTTAGGGCAGATGTCTACCATCTGACAAGCATCAGGCCTGAAGGGGTGAGGCAGCTCACCCACTACATACATCCAGGTTGCTGAAGAACCAGGAACAGAATTTAAACCTCAACTCCTGAGTGAGTGCATTTTCCTTTACAACTGTAAAACGCCTCCATACGATGTGTTGTTTCCTCATCTAAACCAATAGTCTAAAACTTCCCAAATACTTAATAAGTGGATCAAAATATTTCACGGCATATATGTTTCCAAAGAAATTCATACCTCACAGGCTACAAATTCAGCCTGTTCCAAACCACACCCATCTATCTTGCTTTCCCCCATAACCTCCTCTTCCTCCTGTACCACCCTCTCCGGGAAAACGAAGCATCAACCTGGAAACATCAGTTGATCCTCAATTTCTCCTCTGTGTCACCATTACGGTCACCACAAGCCTCAAATCCAGCCATCTCTGAGTTCAGCATTGCAAAGTAGGCCCCGCAATTGCATCCGCATGAGCCATTGCCTCCACATTCAGGCCCTCAGTCGTCACAGACCCCTTTTTTTTTTGCTTCCCTGCCACTTATATTTTTAAAAACACAAGCCTAAGCATGCGACTCCTCTGCCAAATGGCAATCGATGGCCCCCTATTACCTAGAGCAGAAAACCTAACACAGTCTGGCCAGCATGTGCCTTTCCAGGGTCGCCCCACCCTCATTAGACCAGGCTAGGCCTCTCGCAGTGCATGACTGGTTAGGATCTCCTCAATACTGTCCCCAAGACCCAGCACCAGGGTGGCTGACTCTGCCCTGAATCCTGGAAGACATGGGTTCTGCATCCTTAGGGTCCCGAAAGAGGGCTCGAAGTGTCTGCTGAGATGCCCCTCTTCTCCACAAGGTATGGATCCTCATGGGCAGGGGCCATGTTTGATTTATCCTGCTAGCCTCGGAGCCCAGCACAGAGCCAGGCACATAACAAATGCTCAAAAAGCACCCAGTGAACGAACGGCATCAGGGTAATGCATACACCCCTGGTTCCTGGTCAGATTCACCGCTTACCCTCAGATCAGTACTAGCCATTTGATTTGTCTCATTCCGAGACTCCCATTTTCAAACTGAGTATCTTTCACCATCCACTACCCACCCCAGTTTCGAGATCAGACGAGATCGGGCGCGTTCAGGGTGGTATGGCCATAGACCCACCCCAGTTTCATAAAAGCAAGTCATTATAATCCAAATGCATTTACTCTCTAAAACAGAACCACTGGCTACCCTGGATCAAGTCTTGCCACAGTGAGTTAAAAGGTTACATCACTCAGGATTTTGATTCATTTAAGTGTGTATAAGTGTGTAAGTGTGTGAGTGTGTGTGTATGTATGTATAAAATCCATTTAATGAGTGCTTTTCCAATTTCAAAAAACCCCAATTTTATCACATATTTATATAGAGAGTTAACCCAAGACATACGCATTTGTACAGAAAAACAAATTGTTTGAGTAATTCTTCAGCATGAAAGAAGGTTACTTTAGATGATACACCCGTGTTTTGTTTTTCCCCCACACAAAAACCTGTCAGCCCTTTATGGCTAAGGCTGTGACAGCACAGTAGCCTAACAAGGCCCAGCCTATATAATCCAGAGCCCAGGTGCCCTCTGGCCCCATCTTGGCACTGCTTTATATTCAATGACACAACCTAACACAATGTGGCCTACTCCCCCCAACTCCTCCCAGAAAAAAACCAAAATTCAAGTATTTACTGCAGTCCTTTACAAAAATTCCAAGGAGAAGTATATTAAAGACAGCAAAATTCTGGGCCGGCCGAGTGGCGCGATGGTTAAGAACTCGCTTGGGATGCCAGAGAGCCCCGGTTCGGATCCCACATATGAGGGCCAGTGACACTGCCCTCTACAGCTAAGATGCTGAACAACAGCTCAACCTGGAGCTGGGATGCCTTGAGTCGCCGGCGACGGCGTAGGCTGCAGTCCCTGTGGCAGTGGGTTGCCATGGGCTACCGTGTGTAGCCAGCAGCCAGCGTGAGCGGCCAGCAGCCGCAGTGAGCGGCCGTCCAGAAGCCGGTGACTGATCTGCCTCGCCAGAGAAGAGCACAATGATGGTGCCAACTTGGGCCAGTGAAGCAACATCCTCCACAACTAGATTGAAGAACAAAACGACAACAACTTGTCTGTTCCCCTTCCCCCAATTCCCCAGCACTGTTCCCATCCCCCCAATTCCCCAATAAAAATCTTTAAAAAAAAAAAAAAAAGACAGCAAAATTCCTTAAAAAGTTGTCTTTCTTCATCTCCTCCAATCTTAGTATCTCTCACAAACAAAGCGGCCATGTTAAGGATATTTTTAATTGAAGAAAATATTTTGTATAGCGTAGTGCTCTTGAAGAATGAGGGATTCTTGTTTTTCTCCTATAAAACGAACCGCTCTTTACTTTTCTGTTCCTTTTACATAACAGGAAATTTTGAAAATGCAACTCAAGTTATATCCCTTACGTGAATCCCTTGATGTCATATTTAATTTCATGTGAACTGATAAGGAATATTTGGTGAATAACTTTAAATGTTTGCACACTGTAGATGCTTCGTGCCATTTCTTTAATCAGAGAAATTGCTAAGTCTGAGCAAGAGAACCATGCCTCTGCCCACCAGACTCACACACTGTGAACACCTCACAGCAGTGCTGTGAAGGCTGAAAACAAGCCACACGGATGGATGGGAAGCATTTCTTTAGATAATGCACCAAGATGTCTTATGACCTCTCTAGAACCCTCTAGAGCAGTGGTTCTCAACCTGTGGATCGCAACCCCTTTGGGGGTCGAATGACCCTTTTACAGGGGTTGCCTAAGACCATCGGAAAACAAAAAGATATTTACATTACGATTCGTAACAGTAGCAAAATTACAGTTATAGAGTAGCAACAAAAATAATTTTATGGTTGGGGGTCACTACAACATGAGGAACTGTATTAAGGGGTCGCGGCATTAGGAAGGTTGAGAACCGCTGCTCTAGAGACACCAGGGCTAGTGGCCTGAGGCTGTGTGCAGTGCAGACTGTGCTCTCCTGTGGGCGAGTGTGCACATGTTCAGAAGAGCAGCCTGGTCCTAGACTGGGCCTCACGGCGTGGCCACCACAGGGGTGTCTCTCGTTGAACCCCATCACATTCCCCACTACAGCTACTCCAAACTTCCTTGCTTGGCAAGCCCCCAACTCCTCACTCTATGCTGACCTCTCTTCTTGGCAGCGTAAGCTACCTCAGCGGTCTGCCCAAAGTTAGGCCTAAAGGTGGTCAGGGAAAAATAAGGGTTAAGGCTTCAACTCTTTTGTGGTAAGGAGTCGATGAGCTTAGAACTCACCCTGTGAAGTGGGTGTTCATTCCTCCCACCCCTCCCACCAGTGACTTCTGGTCACTGGGTCACTATTTCCCTGATCACACGCCCTACTTCCCATCCCCCACCCACCACTACCATCCAAGTTCAAGATGGTACTACTTCTCACTTTTCTGGAACATGCTGACAGGGAAACTTTAATAACAGTAACACACAGCTCTGCTGACATGTCTTCACTGTCCCGTGAAGCTGTGATGGCTACGATTAATTCTGAAGTCCTCCAAGAAGCACCTAAGGGCCTATCTTCCAAGGGTTTTTTTCTGGTTCTTCTCCATTCAGCCCTTTATGGGAATCATACAACCTGTACTATATTCTCACACCTCAACCTGCCACAGCTTCCTCACCCCTGTGCCTTTGCTCAGGCTGTTCCTGCCCTTAAGTTTCTCTCAACCCATCAAAACCCTGGCCTGAAGGTTTGCCTAATACTCACCCCTCCCACAGCCTCCCCTAACCTCTCCTCTGCCCAGCTCCTGGGGCAGAGCCTTCTCTCCTCCATTTCTTCCTGACCAGGGCCTGGGGCTGACCTTTCTCTGCCTTGAGTCATAAGCAGGCTCTTGCTCCTCTATTGGACAAGGCTCTAAGACCATGAGACCAAGGCTGTGACTTTTACACCTTTCTCCCCATGGCTCCCTAGCACGGTGCTCCATCAACATTCGCCAAACTGACTTGAAATACAGAGGGAACTGTCCTACATAGAACACGACTTGGCTAAGTCATCTCCAACACTGCTGGGATGCCATCTGGTTTTCGCAACCTCACCCACACGCTGAGGTTAAAGGAATCCATTCACCTTCGCAGGGTCACTATGAGCGCTGAGGAGCTCAGGCAAAACCATGATAGACGGAAGGCCTGGCCTTCGATGGAGGACTTAGGGGAGATAAGGGAAGACGTTCAGCTGGGAGCAAAGGGCTGGAAAGCCAGCGTTCTCCCACCAGGTTCCTAAAACCTAAAACTCCCTAAACAGAGGAACTGGGCTCCAGTCACAAAAGACCTCCCCACCTCACCCCTGACACGCCCAAACCAGGCAAGATAAAATTCTTCAGAAGCAAACTGTGAAGCCCCACCTTTCCTGTAAGGAGCTTTAAGGCTCTTAATAGTAGATGCAATAAAGGCCTAGTAATTTGGGACAGTGTCTTAGTTCATCAAATATCTGTGTAGTGGAGATTTTCTAAAGAAATTAAGTCTTATTACTTTAATTCCTTCCTAATCGGAGAAGAAAACAAAACTACTTCATTTCTTTTTCTTTCTTCCTCGAAGCTAGGGTAGCAGTGATCATTCAGAATAATGCCCCCAGCAGGGATAATAACTTTAACAAAGTGAGGGGTCTGGCTGGGCAAGAACCCCGCCTTCCCATTCCCTCCCAGCAGACCATTAGGCTCACGCAAAGAGGCTGGGGGGAGACAGTGTCTGCTTAGCCTGGCCGGTGGTACACTGGCTGTCTGAAATTGGTTTTGGCCAATTAAGGGATCCTTGAGGGAAAAAAAAAATAAAACCCCCAGTAAATCCAATTTAGCAATCCCAGGCGTTCTCTGCTGATTGTTATTACTCTCTGTAAGTGGCTCCAAATGATCCATGTATAAAATAAACTCACACCCAGATAGAGTGAGCGTACCAGATGAAGCAGTGAAGGCAGGAGGGAGGGGCAGGCTCTGGTTTAGAAAAACAAAGGACCCCAATGTCAGCACCACTGCTCCCAGCTGCTGGGCGGAGGATGGCAGGCTGGCCGTCTGGGCAAACCCCCATGACAGTGGCACCTCCTAGGCCACACTAAACCCTGCCTGTGTTGCTGTCCATTCCCCTGTCCCACTCCCTGACATCAGTCATTGCAGGGAGAGGGACATATGGTCCATCTCTGGAGAGGCGTGGTTTGGCTTCCCTGTTCCCTCCGACTCACCCAGACCTGAGCAGCTATCAGTAAATGTGGCCAGAAAGGCTGCGGTGGGTCCTATCCTGCCCCTTATGGAGAAAGGAGTATTGCCAGAGGAACGCAGCTGCCACTCCCGGCAGCCACGCAGCTACCAGTGGACATTATTCTGAACGTGGAATAAAAGGAGTCCCAGGGAATGAGGGTCTCCTACTCCTCATCAGATTACCTCTTAACGTTAGGACTCTTACCTCATCTATTAAAGGGTGACTTTTGGCTAAGGGATTAAAAGGTATAAATAAAAAAAGGGCCGGTCCTTTCTTCAGCTCGTTATTCAGCAGGAGACTCTTGCCGCCATGTGGCCACAGCCATCGAAAGAGCGTCTCTCGGTTTTCCAAGGCCCACCTGTGGATGTTCTCAGCTGTGTAGTTGATGACCTCTCTGGGGAAGACCTGCGGAGGACAAACATGCAGAGCATAAAAGGCAGAGCAGGGTCACGTGAGCACGTCACACTGTTTTCAGAGGCCAGATCAGCCCCACCACTTCAAGGTGAGGAAACCGAGGCTGAGAGCGGAACACGACCTGCCCCGCTTGAGCAGCTCAAACCCGGCTCACTTCTCCAGACAAAGCATTTCCTCACGAGTGGCTGGAAAAGCAAAAGCAGTTGCCAGAGGTGACTTTCACGTCATGTGACTCATCTTTTTCCCTTTAGACAGACTCATCGATCAACAAATGATTCTCCCCGCCTGCTGCTGACAACAGCGACCTCTACCACCCTGCCCGAGGGGGGCCATCAAACATCACTGGGTCTTTATAAAGAATCCATAAGGAGCTCAGGGAACAGAGATTACGGAGTCAAGGCTCACTGTGATTTTTACCTTGGTCCTTCCAGAGCTGGCTCATAAGGGCAGGAGAGGACCTTCCATCAGGGCCAATTTTTACGATTTGCTCACCTGTAGCCCCAGTGACTAGAACACCTGACACAGAGCTGAAACTCAACAAATGTTTGAATGAATCCATGAATGACCTAGAGCTGTACAAGGCCACGGATCACACTGTATGTGTACAGAATGAAGAGGCAGTTTTTGCTTTGTTTTTCTATAATAACCAAAGAGTATCAATATAAAATTATTTTTGAAATTCCAATGATATAAATCACTGGGTTTCAAACAAAACTCCCAAAAAAGTGCTTTGGAGGGTTCCACAAAATGCGATATTTTATACCCACCCAAAACAGAGATTTAAATTGCCTCATAACAAAGATGTCCATTGATTTTATTTTTTAAAATACTAGTATTCCCAAAATATTTCATTTTGATAAAAGGAATTCTGGTGATAAACCAACCAACCAACCTTAAAAACTATGGAATTGATTAAATAAACCCAACATATTTTTCAGTGTCATTCTCACAGCCCTACCTTCTTTTCTCTATTTTAAATGAATTCCTCAGTACTCTTTACTATAAATATGATATATGTTGCTTGTGTAGCATGCCGTGAAAGAAGGATGAAGGAAAATGATAGACAGTAAAAGCAGATGGCGTCAAAAGAAGCTCAAACAGAGGCACAAGGGGGGGGTGGGGTGGTGGCAGAGGGACAGTCACAGCAGCAATTCTCAAAGTGGGACGCTGGGAACTTGAAAAAACACACTCAACATCATCATAAACATTTCTATTTAGAAAACACAAAAATACATTTCATTTTTGGAATATAAACTGTGAGAAGTAAAGCTCACCATCTGGGCTACTAGAAATAAGCAGAAGCCAGAGTGACTGGCCACCGAGGAGGCGCCCCCTGAGAGGGCCTAACAGGACCTATGAGGCATAAGACTTGCGTGCTGAGCGAGGGGAACATAGCTTTAAAGGGTCACTGTGTACAAAGGTACCGGTCTTCACTCGACATGTAAGTAACTGATACTGTCAATGAAGGTAGAGAGAGAAAATTCTTAAGAGAAATAAACTCTCGGTGATGGGACTGAGGACGTGGCAATAAATAGAACAGAAGCACAGGGCTGGCAGGATACCTGTCAAAAGCTCAGAAATAGCTGAGTTGAGGTTGGTCCACCAAAAGCAAATGAAATCAGGGGACAAAGATGACAATGGAAAGCCAAGGCTCTCTGGGGTGAGAAGCCATCAACTTCTCACTGTGATTTGATAAGAACTTCAAAATCCATTCCATCAGCTAAGGAGAAAAGCATGTCATTTTACTACTCTTGATAAATGGAACCAATGAACAAAGAACATTGCCCAGTGGAAGCTTAACCTCTGAGAACATGGGCCCAGAGTAACAATTCTCCAACAGAATAATTCTGAAATTTTATCTAAGAAGGAAAATGAACAAGCCTAAGAATACAAAGCCTAAAAATACAAAGAATTTCTAGATGTTAAATTCAAGAGGCCTCTACCGCATGGGATCTTAACCAGGGGCCTGGGCTCTAGGGTGGGGCTGTAGGAACTCTCAATCTGCATATAAAATCATGTACACTTTCCTAGGGAGAGTGTCCATAGATTGTATCCAATTCTCAAAGAAGTCTGTGACCTAAACAAGGTTAAGAGCCACTGCACTAATATAAACGTGATTTCAAAATACTTACAAGTGATGTGTTGAAATGTCTATGTAAATACACACTTCCAGAGTGTGCTAAGGATACCAGTTTCGCAAGATGTTTATTTGTGATAACCCCAAATCGTACTGTTCCTAGGTAATCTGAAACAGAAAATGTTCCTTTATTAAAGAAAAGGCCTATGCCTTAACACAACCAACAAAACCCAATGATCACGTCCTGATGCACAAATTCCCCAGAGCAAAGCTCTTTTTGAGCCTAGACAGGAAAGCAAGAGGAGCTGAAGAAACCTCATCCTGACACAGACCTCACGTCTTCCCGAGTAACGACCCATAGTCACCTGCACTGTTCCTGTCTGTCCGCTGATCTCACCTCATCGCCTGCTACCCTGTCCCCCTCACTCACCAGCCCCACCTTGGAGACCAGGCACATGTAGTTCTCCATGTGTCCAGACACTTCCATGGCCGGCGCCTCATCATTCAGATCTCAGCTCTGACCCCACAGTCTCTGAAAAGCCTTCCCTGACCATCCCAACTCAGGGTTAAACCACCCCAACTTAGAAGATAAAATCCATAAGGGGAAACTGGGGGTGCCTCCCCACTCAGGCACTCTCTCTACCATTACGCTATTTTTTCTCCAGCACTTTATTAACATCTACATAACCTTATTGATTTATTTAGATTTTCTTTGGCCCAACTTCCTCATAAGTTCTGTGAAATTAGAAACCTATTTATTGCTCTTAGCCCAGCACCTACAGCAGTGCTTGGGCAGATGATAAGAGATCAATAAATATTGTTTAAATGAACACATCTAGCACGTACAAAGAACTCATACAAATTAGAAAAAAAAAACAGTTAAGAATGGGCAAGTCACAGAAAAGGAAATGTTAAAGCCTAATAATTACATGAAAATACATTCAACCTCACCATTTCAGAGGAAAGCAAATTAAAACACAGTGCTGGTGAAAAAGGTAAAATGGCAGCCAGCAAGGACAGCAATGGCATGTGTTGTACTGATGGCACATGGACATGGCCTGCAGCCCTGCACTTCTGCTTCTTAGTACCCACATACATGCACTAAGAGTCACAAGAGAAGAAAGTCACCCAGAAATACTCCGCAGATGTTAAAAACAATGGGACAGGGCTGTCTATACGACACGAACAGATTGTTCAAGACACATGTGAGTGACACAGCAAGCTGAGGGAAGATAAAGTGTACCTTTCATGACAAAAAAAAAAAAAAAAGATCAAAGAACAAAAAATATCTCACACTTATAAAACAATATATATTTTTCCTTCTGGCACATATGTTTAGAAATGTATAAAGAGTCTGAAAAAATAATAGAAGTAGTTTTAAATTTATAACATAAGTGTAAGGGGATGGAGATCAAAGGGGACTTTCTCCTCATGTGTGAAGCTTTCTTTGTTCCCCGCAACGAGTATATATAATGCAATATTTGTGTGATTAGAAACGGACGTAAATACTTAGTGTTAGAGGATGGATAAGATGGTGTGGGAAAAGGTGCATTCTTTTCTATCCCTTCTGCTATATTACCAATAGATGTGAAATAAAGTATCAGTTAAACTTTAAATGCTACCATTGATACCCAGTAGCTCAAATATAAAAATATTAAGGTACTGAACACACGAAGTTTCTAGCTTAATCACACGAGCCCCATCCTGCAGCAGTGGCGTCCTCTTTCTCTCAGAGGAGTGGTTGCCAAGAGCGAAGTAGAACTGATGCCATGCTGGACGATCTTTAATACAAGCCTGATGAATTTAAAATAGCACGAAACCAAAGAAACACAGGAAGAATAAAGCAGAAACTACAGAGATTGGTTGATTATAGGATGCGTGGCAAAGAGGGGCAAAGAAGGAAGAATGGGAAGTGGTGAACATGGATGAGGTGGCCGGACCCTCCTCCGAGGAGACCTTTTTATACCAGACTCTTGTTTCGCACCCTTCACATGCTCAAAAATGAAACAAATCATTAAACCAACCAAAATGTGGGGGAGCCCAATGTGGAATACAAACACTAGCAAATATAACTGTACCACAAATGCAGCATCCCACAGTGAAGGGATGAAGGCTTAGGGATAAAAAACTGAGTACCTGGAAACAGATGCTGTAAAAATAAAGATAATGAATACATACAGTAAAAATAAAGGCAACGAGAGCCAGGACTCTTAGGGAAGAGAGAAAGCATTAACATTAAGAAGGGAAGGCTAAAATGAACTACGTGGTGTTAGATTGGAATCGGAGGGAACTGATATAAACTCATTGCTTGAAACACACAGAGAGAGAGAGAGAGAGAGAGAGAGAGAGAGAGAGATACGGAACGATAGATGAATGCATATGTGTGAGTATAAATACAAGTATGTCCTAGCTCTATCTGCTGAGAGGGCCTAGAAGTAATGATACCTGGTACCAAAGTGCATACTTAGTATCTAGGTCTGGGTCTCTGAACACCATTCTCCAATAAAAGGGACCAGGGCTCCTTGGAGAAGAAACAGGCTGATTCCCGGGCTGGGGCAGGGATGGCACAAGGTAAGTCTAGAACTTTTTGTGGTGTCAGAAGTAAAGAAGTGCTCACAAAGGATGGGGACTTGTTCAAAGGACCTAAGAGCCAGCGCAAGATGCTCCTATGGCCACAGCTGGAACCAACTGAGCAACAGAGTCAGCAATGACCACTATCCTTCAAAAGCATCGAGGTTATATGAAAGACAAGGAAAGATGGAAGAACTGTCATAGGAAAGGAGGCTAGGGAGAAAAATAAACAAAGGGGATGTGGGACCCCAGACTGGCCTGGAACAGAAAACTGACATTAGTGAAAACAGTGGCAAAATCCAAAACAGGTCTGCATTTTAGGTAATGATAGTGGTTTTGATAAAAGCACCAAAACAAATGGCTATGTAACATGTTCACATTCGGGAGGACAGGCGAAGGCAGAGAATTAGGGAACTCTCTGCTCTATTTAGGCAACTTTTCTGCAAGTATAAAATTAGTTCAAAATATAGATTTAAAAAATGGCGTTAACATAAAAGTTCAGATACCAAAGCTGGCAGAAGAAAAAGCAGGACTTAAGACGGGGTATGAATTGGTAGAACCAACAGACACCACTCTCCAGGGGGGGCTGATCTTGGTGAACAGCCATAGTGAAAGAGAGAAGAGAGAAAAGCAGCCAGGACAGAAATTCACTTGCTAGTCTGCCAAAGTCACCAACATGAGCTATTGGAGCAGAGGAATAAGAAGTGACAGTGGGACCCAAAAGTTGAAAGGGGCCATTCAAAAACTTGTTTAATTAATAAGAATGGACAGCTTGCCTGAACAGAACAGATTCTAACATGCCCAAATGTATTACAACTTCAAAACTTTATTTTTCACATATAGAGAAATTTACAAAAATCACACATCTATTTAAGTCCCTGCATGTTGTGGAAATCTCACTGGAAGAAGCAGCTTAAATTTGCCGTCTCATGTGTACAAGGAGTAACTGAATTAGCAGAGGAAGTTTATACGTAAGAATGGTTCAAGAAAATAATACTTCCTATCTCCCTATCCAGAACATTCTCTGTTAAGCAGGACTCCAGGGCTTTCTACAATAGGGGTCTTTGTCATTTATAAAATTGAATAATTTTGCCCTAAAAATAATAAAGCTTCAATATTTTAACTAAGGACTCTGAATTTGTTGAATAATTAATATAAATTCAGAATAATGCTCTCCCCTCCCCTACAAAAGGTCCAGCAATGGCATGATCCTATTCAATGCATCAAAAATAATAAAATTAAAATTTCAATAAACTCGGCTAGCGAGGTTAGCTGGCCAGTTTAAAGTCTCTCTTAACCAGCCAGGGAAAGGTGTGAGACGGACCACTGCGAGACGTAACGAGGTCCTGAAGGAACCTCTGGGTAAAAGCAGTAGTTACCGAATGCCATCTGCAGCTGCCCACAGGCAACCGAGTAGGTCAAGGGGACCACAGCATGAAGACTGCCTGCCTGCCGCGTGCTACAAAAGGTGCTGAAGCCTCGGCCCCATGTCCCTCAGCTACAAGGCAGCCCACCACATCACGCATGTGCTCCACGGGACACGGGGCGACAAGAACTAACACTACCAGGCTGATCCACTGTTCGTGCGCTTTGAGTAGAAGTGGCCTTGCTTTGAGCCGCTCAAGCTACCTAACTTTGGCACCTCCGCTGTTCACCCCTTGCTGTCTTTTATGAGGCTGGGGCTCTTCTCTGCCACTGAAAGAACGCTCGGCTCCTCCCACACCTAAGGAGAGCTCCCATTGGCCGCCTTGCATCTGCCATACACCGCTGTCCCCATTTACCTGCTGGCAACAACCCAGGAAGCACAGAGGATGCAGGACCTGTTTTCCACCTGGCTTCCCCTCAGGTTCACGGGCTCACTTGTGAGCTCTCTGGTTGGCATCAAGGTTTTTTTGTTTGTTTGTTTTGGGCCTTTTGTAAAATGTTTTAATATTAGACTACTGTACTTAAAACCATTTACCTTAAATATTAATGTTTTTAATATTAAAACTTCAGTTTAGTGTTAGGGTAAAGTACATCTATTCTGAGGCAAGAACTACTTCGGTGAGGCAAGATGTTAAAATTCTCAAACATTCCAGAAAGAGTCAGAATAGTTTCTTCTATCAGCAAAGAGAATAGACTTTTAATTGTGCTTTACGATTAATAATAAAGAGTCCTGCCAGCAGCAAAGTTACGCAGCTCACACTTACTACCAACTAACAGACTCCCAGGAGCACACTCTGAAAGGCTAACACAAGGAAAACTCCGGATCTTATGAAACAGCTGGCTTTTCCCCGGGACACCTGGATAATGAGGCCTGTGTCCAGAGCTGCACTGTCCTATAGGGTAGCCACGGGCTACATGTGGCTACTGAGCACTTGAATAGGAGCAACTGAGGGGTTAAATGTTTAATTTTATTTGATTTTAACTAATTCAATTTTAAAGTGATATTCAATACACAGTCATTGGAAAACGTTTAACTATGTTTAAAACAATTTGGGTATGTAAATTGCTTTTTCAACTGTGAATTTTATGAAATCTAAATACAGATCAAGTGACAGTACTTTGCAGTGGTTTCCAGCAGACCCTCCTCTAATTTTCATAAATCTTCCTTCTCT